AGCATTATTTCCATCATGCCAATCACACAAAATGGCATCTGGCTATCAACCTGGGGAAAAAAGCCTGAGTTCAGCGCAGCTCACTAGAGTATACTCTGCAACAGCTAGACACTATCTTTCAGAGCTTTTGGGCTAGAATCTGTGTTCGCATGCAGGTTGCTACAAAACAGCGAGCTGAAATCACAAGAAGCATGCAGCTGGAGCAGCAGGGGGCTCTTCTTATTTCAGAGAGTCAGAAGTATATTCAGTGTATTTTCACTAATAGTACATGTCAAGCAACTACTCTCCTTTAACACTACCACTTGCATAATTGACGTGTAGGCATAGATTTCTTCATGTTTGTATTTAATATACTGAGCATGCATGTGTTGCTTGAACCTACTATATGTCATGCTCACTATATTTTCCTGTTCTACCTGTCTACTGACGTTAGCCTGACTGACGTTAGCCTGACATTAACAGTCATGCTTATATTATCTGTTATGTGTTTTAATTACCTTGTTAGTGCTGTCATGTCATCTCAGGCAATGTTGTTAGCAACAAAAAAACTAAATTATATATAAAAGTGTGGGTGCACTAAATATGAAAGATGTAAATTGTAGTTTAACAAACATATAGCTTAAATTCAGTAAGCTGCTCGCAAAGGTATGTGCAGGTTGGTGCATGTTCCCAAGAGGCAAGGAGGCTGCTAGCAGCCCCGGAGAGGCATTTGGGAGCTCTAGTGGTATGGTCGGCATTGTGCACCGTGATCTGGAGCTCCACCTGAGCAGCCAAAGAATAGAGGCTGCTGCTTTGGAGGGACGGTATCAACCTAAAATTTCTCAGAATAGCTGTCAATGTTGAAAGGTATGTGTAACAAAGCCCATTACATCTGCAGTGGCAGAGGCTTTAGAATCCCAACACTTAAAACGACCACTATAGGCACCCAGACCACTTCAGCTTAATGAAGTGGTCTGGGTGCCTGGTCCAGCTAGGGTTAACCCTTTTTTTTATAAACATAGCAGTTTCAGGAATAGCCAAGGTTTATAAACTATGTTTATAAATAGGTTAATCCAGCCTCTAAAGCCTCTAGTGGCTGTCTCATTGATAGCCGCTAGAGGCGCTTGCATGCTTCTCACTGAAAATGCTTTCCTATGAGACTGGCTGAATGCGCGCGCAACTCCCCGCCTGCGCATTCAGCCGAAGAGGAGGAGAGGAGGCAGAGAGGAGGAGGAGAGCTCCCCGCCCGGCGCTGAAGAAAGAGGTAAGTTTAACCCCTTCCTCTCCCCAGAGCCCGGCGGGAGGGGGTCCCTGAGGGTGGGAGCACCCTCAGGGCACTATAGTGCCAGGAAAACAAGTATGTTTTCCTGGCACTATAGTGGTCCTTTAATAGGAATTCAGAGAAGGATTGAGTCCACATGAGTTATTATAGGTCTTTGACTCAAATCCTCTGTACATCATTTTTGCTTAAAGAATAAACACTGAATATAGATTCATTGACAGCACTTTAAAAAATATATATATATTGGCTCAAAGAATTAAAACGGTGTACCTGGAATAATCCTCTGAGATTCCAGTTGGAAAAATATGGGACAGTATTAGTAACGTGTTTGACAGGTTTGTCCATTTTGCAAAGTATTACAAATTGGAATATTCCCATGCAAGTCTAGTGAGAAGCGAGATTTGTTTGTCAGAGTGCTCTGATTGATTGCTTACTTGCCAACCAATCAAAACTCTCTGATATTTCAAATTATGGTAAGGCCTCTATAAAGGCTTTCTGTCTTAAAATGTCAGTGAGCTAGAAGAACATGCATTATACATTTTTTGCATCATATTTTTATTTTTTCACAACTTTTTGGGGGATTCAGGTATTTTTTTTATTTTAAAAGTAGCACCAGGCTACATATTTTATTTTATCTAGTATTATTGGAGCACAAGAAAAGATGACCTAAGAAGTAATAAGACTTCTGAAGGAAAGCATGATTTTCATACAGCTATTGGAGTTATTGCCCCCTACCCCCCCTCCCCTCCCCCACATACACACACATATTGATATTTTTTTTTATTGGGTGGGCTTTTAGACCACTAGCCACCGTGAATGGGGGCATTGGATATCACTTATTGGGTGGTGGACAATGGCATGTCCTCCACCCCCTGAGGAAAATAATACCCCCTACCAATGTGTCACAACTGTGAGTGTTGTCCAGCACACAGAACTATGAAACGTCTACATAGATAGAACAGAAAAGGATAGAATGCAAACTGGTCCTTAAAATGGCTGGACTAATACGTTAAAGACATAGAATGGTCAAGAGATAGCCGCGGTCAAGGAAGCCAGAAATACACAATATCATTTAACAAGCCAAGTCAGGGAAATCAGAATAGTCAGGAATAGCCAAGGTCTAAATACCGGGAATATCAAAAACAGGAGAAGAAAACGCATTCTCTGGAACCAAGAACGGAAACGACAGGGTAATGAACCAGGGAACTTCAGGGACTTAAATATCCCTCCTTTTGCTGTGATTGGTCAGAGGGTGACCTGACCCCAGAACGCGAGTGTGCGTCAATGTCGTGATGTCACACGCACAGTCACACGAGCCTGGGGGGCGGGCTATATATGGCCGCGACTGCGTTGTCGGCACCATATTGATTAAGGGCAGGCGGCCAGGAGAATCTGACAAAGCAGTTCCCAACTTGCCACTGAGCAGGTAAGCTCAGTTCATCGGCACGGTCGCACCAGTCGGGTGCGACGGCACCTTGCGGTGGGCCGGGGGCCGTGACACAATGCCCATACATGTGGGTAAAGGGGGGAACAGCTTTAGCATCCTTTTTGATTTACCAACTTAAGTGATTTGCCCAACATTTATTATATTACTAGTACCCACCCTCTGCCTATGGGTGGAAGCTGGGGGGACAGGTTATTATATTAGTAGACATTAGTAATACCTCTAAGTTAGTTTATAAAGCCCCCACCCACTGCCCGTGGGTTCGGCTGGGGGAATAGTACTATGTCCCCCAGGTTAATAATGAATAGCCCCTATGGGTGGCAAGGGGAATTTGGTATTTAACCCCAAGTTTTTTTAAAGCCCCAGTCTGATGGCCCTGGGTGAGGCAAGGTAGTGATCAATTAATTACTTTAAACCACCACCCAATGCCTCGGGTAGGGGCTCAGGGTGAAAAAGTGACTGGTCCAAACCCCATATTTTCCAGGCCCCACTACCACCACAGGATGAAGCCTTTCTTAGTGACTGGGCAGCAGCAGTCACTATTGTTTTCATTATAGTGAGCAGCCACTGGTAGGTGTGAGCATAAGGGAAGCTTTTTAGGTTACTTATTTATGTTTACTTTTGAAACCAAGGAGTGATCTGACTGCCATTCCGGGGTCGAAAAGGAAAGTTTTCCTAATTTGTTTCAAAATTGGAAAGCGCCTCAAACTGTTTGGGTTTTTTTTTACCTTCTTTTGGATCAAAAGTAAAAGCAGATGAAAGACTAAACTTGATGGACAAATGTCTCATTTTAACCTATGTAATGGTCCAGCTGGCTAGTAAGTGCTGGTCAGCAGTCACACAATTAACCCATCAGAGTTGTTGTTTTTATTACAATTTGCTCGCTGGCAGAATATTTAAAAGCAAGTAAAATCCAAGCATTGTTAAACAGTGTGAGCAATGCCTGGATTTTGCAGACCGAATAGCTCTGTACTGAACCAAATGTGTTTGCCCTAAGCAGACTTTAGTAAATAGACTCATTAGTATTCGCTATCTATTTCCAACAATTAACACATTCATGAAAAATCCTGTGAATGGTATGTCATGTTTGTAAAACAGATGCACGTTAACACCATTAATTTAATCTTTTAAAGGCATGTTTCTGCTTTTTTCATATATTTTTTAGATTGGAACAATAAATATAGTGGCTAAATCACCAAATAGTTATTTGTGCTGGACTAAAAAACTGAATCTGAAACTTTATGGCAAAATAGATGCAATAAAAACATTTTCTGACTCAGCGGTTTTCCACTTTGTGGCTATGTGTGGTCTACATATTGCGATTCAATGTTCAGTTCACCACAATTCACTGTTTAATGAATAAACCGTGCTAAGCAAAATTATACAATCGCATCGAGGATATCTTTATATACAAACCGTTTTTAATTTAAGACCTATATCTAGAATTTTGGAAAGCTAGGCAGAAAACCTAAATTTCCTACGTATTCTTTGTGACCTATTCACTGGAGCACTTTCAGTGAATAATTCAGAATGTGCTAAATTACATTATTTCTAACCATATTATTTATATAGGCTCTTGTAATATGTATTGTTTATTTCTGAGGTCTAAAGTAGACGAGCTGATAGAAAAGAAAAAGGTCCATTGGCACCAACCATATTATTACAAAAATACTCTGCAGGAAAAAGAAATGGCAAATCCACTTAAGATAATTCTTTGTGAGCAGGCCTCTTCTGCATCAGGTACACATTGTATAAATTGCGTTTACTGTTTCCAAGCACCCATTCAGGCTGAATTTTTTGTTAATGCTTGTCTGTTGTAATCGGCAGTGACAGTACTGAGAAATTATCAATATATAGTGCAATTTAGTACATCTCAAGCTGGTCTCTCCTTTTAGATTTTTCCTTGGGTGGCTGAAAGGCCTGAATTAGCTCTCAACTGTGTAGGCAGAATCAGTTCTGGTAATATTTCCCCTCATCTCACGTAAGTGTATCATTTATCTTTGGTAGAAATTGTATGTTTTTTTTCTACAAAACAAAACATGTACTGTGACCTGATTAACACCTGCCATGTTCTTTTTTGTTTTTGTTAGCTTGAGACATGAAAAGTGTACTTCTAAAGAAGTTTAAGCTTAGCCGTACAAACGATGGAGAGAAAAAAAAAGGTTCTCTTCCATAATCCCTATATCCCCTCCAAGGACATTTTCACTTGTTTTAGTGTTTACAAACTTGATTTAAAAAGCAAATATATATATAGCTGTGCCTGTGTCTCTGGAAGGGGAAGATCTACTAAATGGTGGTTTAACCCTTTTATGCCTGGGTGTGCCTAAAATATATATATTTTAGGCACACCCAGGCATAAAAGGGATAAACCACCATTTAGTAGATCTTCCCCTTCCAGAGACACAGGCACAGCTACTGCAGAACCCCAAACTCCCGAACAGGATACCAAGTAGCACTCCAAACTCCCAAACTGGAACCTCACGAATAGCTGCTAGCAGCTGAACAGGAAAAGCACCGAAGCGGCTTACACTCCTGGCAATCAGTCTCTACCAGCATACAGTAAATCCCCCCAAGAACGAGACAATCTCTGTGTTGAGGGTCAAGCAGTGAACAGACAGAGCTGTGGGTTTATTGTTCTTATATACACATTAGTACCACCCACAGGGTTTTGGAAAATAAAGACGTACAATACACTCAGACACTCCCACACAAAATCCTCCCCTCTGCCTGTGATACAATGGGTAATGTAATTATAACAGCCAGAGAAATACAGTTTTTCCACATTATTCATAACTTGAAAAGTATGCATCACATTCACATAAAACATTTTCAGAATCAGCATACTCCAAATACAAACATATGTCAAAATCATCCAAATTGGTCCATTGGTTCAAAAGATAGATCAAAGTCCTTTGTGACCAAATGAAGCATGGCTTTTCTGCCCAAAACCAGTTCCACAGAGTCTTCTATCCTGGAGATAATTGGGAAGTAATCCAATTATCTCCAAGGACAGAGGCAAAACTCCATTAAGCACATGGCAGTAAAAAGACAGTAAAATACAATAAAATACACTAAGTTACATTTATTACATAAAATACAGACATATCCCCAGATCGCTTAGGTCTGAGTGCACATTATTACTGAATGGCGCTAAGACCACACACATACAGTTCAATCGCCATGGAGCCAAAGTCTTTTATTACACGAATAGGCTCCATGGCATAGCTATCTGGGGTAAATGAGTTCATTCAGTAAATCCGAGAATCTACCGAACGCCAGGGCAGAAATACAGGAATAGACCTTTCTGCATTAGAAAATAAAGTATTTAAATGCCGGTCCATAGTCAAAAAAAAGGCAGCAGGCGGGCAACCAGGCTCCTCCAATGCACAGTGGCGAGATTGGTCTCGAGATTAATATATATATATATATATATATATATATATATATAGTAACACAGTCTCCCCATCTGTACTTGCCTCGGTGCAGAATACCAGCCAAGTTACACAATCCATGATAGAGATCTTTGTATGGGAATATAAATCTACTTTTATTGCCCAAACAAACAACTGCCTAACTGAGATTTAAATGTGAGTAAGAAATGAGAGTGAGGGTGACTGTGATAAAATAGATGCCTATGACGTTAGAAGTGTGATAATTCTAACACAACCCCTTTTCCAAAAATGTAAAAACCTAGAGTAGTGAAAAGCGAATCATCCTTCTTTTGCTGAAATAGATGACCAATCAAGGAACAGGACTCTCAATCAGTAGGATCAGGAACAAATATGAAACTTTAATTGGGCATAAATAAGCGTCTAATAAAAATAAAGATAACAACAATAAAATATAAATTTCCAAATCCAGCGCATTTCTTCCACAAACAGGTGGTCTTCATCAGGGATAAAATTATATTGTATTGTAAATAATCAAAAGACAGGAAGGTGTGCTATACACCAACCAAAACAGTGGAGCGTGTAAAGTGTGCTACAAAATACACCTACCCTTAATCAGATACATGGGGATGTAGTTAAAAAGAGAGAATTATACTTCTGCCTATTTGATCCGAGCCTGTTCTGGAAGGCTCATTTCCATGTGAGTTGGACCATTCTATACACAATTAATCATTTTGTCTC